AGCCAATTTTCTTTTATGTTTCTTTAATTGTTGCTCTTTTTGACTTTGAAAAGGATACCAAGTGTTCTCATATATTTAAATGTGCCTGATGGCTTTGGCTGTTCAAATACTAAGGCCCCCGTAGGCACTGGGGTATCCCTGGGGCAACCTTAATACAAACGTAGGTAGAAAGTGCATTTTTGTATTTGTCCAGCTGTGCAGGCTCACATCTGCTATTCTCAGGCTTGCTGCCAATCATTGCAGCTCTTACCATTTATTTTTTTCTCACAGGGGAAGAAAGCACCCAAGRCAATCTCTCGCTAAAAGAAAGAAGGGCAATCATGCAAAGGTGGACTGTTTACACTATTTTTGTTACTTTCTTTTTTCATCTACCTGATGTTACTGGCACAGTGGCAGGCMTAGCAAGTAGGTTGGAGATGAAAAATGACATTAAATATTGTGTTGTAGCTACATTCTCTGAACACTCRTTTTCCCTTGCTCTATGTTCTATTATTCAAACTAGACAAAGAACCGTCGAGGTAACTAGCAGATTCCCTCCTTCTGCCTCTCCCCATCCTACAAGGTCATCTAAAWCAGGCTAGGGAAGTATACTAGAAAATACTGCAGGGAACAATCTTGCTTTGGCAGGAAAACACATTGTAAAATTCTACCTGCTCTTTTCCACTTCCAGTTTCTGTGATCCAGATGACTGGCAAAACCCCTTGGCATATTTGTTTCATAAGAACTTTAAATACTGGGTCTCTCTGTTCAGGTGATGCTCTTGCCCATATGGAAGGCAAGACCCATAGATGCAGCTGGCATTTTCCAAGTTATATTTGCCTGGTTAGTTTGACTGGGAAAGGCAAAGGAGGCCAAAGAGGGGTTAAACTGATGTGGGCAAAGATTCAAGCAGATCTGGTGGCAAAAAATAGGAGGCAAAAGATAGAGGAACATCCAGAGGTTTATCACTGGAATTCAAAACTTATCAGAGAAAATAGTTCTGATAAAAGATTTCCTTCTCCAAGCACCTGCCAACCAGCTTGGTTTTATCACAGGTGAATAGCATTGCCTCATTTCTCATTTGAATTTCTTTAAAGTGATGGTTCATTGGAGGATTTTCAAAAACAAGTTCAAAAGAGAATTTAAAGATGATAATTACATTGTCTTTTGAAATGTTGCTTTCTTCTTCATCAAATGTAYCTTGTGAGGAAGCTCAGTCATGGAGGGGTTCTCAGGGTGCTCCTCCAGCCTCTCCTGCAAGGTTGTTCTGCAAATGGCCTGGCCAGGCAGGAGCTCCTTCCCAGGCACAACTGCTGGCCAGCAGCTTCCCTTGGGGAAGTGCCACAYGCCTCCAGGATGACAGTGTGGGGATGGCCAGGATGGGCAGGTGCCCAGCTCAAAGCCAGAAGACACRCTTTTGCTGTCACTGTTAGCAGAGGAAGCAAACCCTGGCCCTTCTGGGAGAGGCAGATCAGAGCCAGCCTGACCCACCACAATCTTCCTTGCCAGATGCCTGGACATACCTGGAGCAATTGGTCACCTTCAAAAATACCACCAGTGCTTTCCATCCCARCAATCATAACAGACAGCAGAAGACCAATGGGGAAAGAGCAGCCTGAATCCTTAATCCTTGCCAGCATTGTCTTTACTTTTTGGTGCTTGGCTGTCCAGGTCAGGTTGATAAACTGCTCAAAASAGGTAAATACTGCTTTAATCTCTTCCTTCAGTTAATCATGTAAACCACAGGAAGGCAGACAGTAATTCAAGATCAGCGATAGCCTTATGAAGCTCACATTATTATGGAAGAAATTTAAAAAACCACACACCTTGAATACCTTTGTTTCCATCTAATCCCTTAATGATTAAACCCCAGAGAACAAAAAGAATTTCACAYATTATCTTCAAATTCAGGATAGTTAGAATGATGCAGATGAATCTAATTTAATCCCTCTTTGTTTCTCACTCCTGACTGTGGAAATGGAACAAAAAGCAGAAAGAAAACTCAAACAAAAAGTGCAGAGCAGTGGATTTAACTTTGTGAAGGTCCATGCTAGGTCACCATGGGATTATTACTGATAGGTTTAACAAACGTACACCATCAAAAGAAGAACTTCAAATAAGCCAGATACACSCAGTGGGACCAATTTCACAAATGCCTTCATAGAATCACAGAATCTTTTAGGTTGGAAAAGATGTCTAAGACCATCAAGTCTAACAATTAACCTAACAGTGCCAAGTCCACCACTAAACCATGTCCATAAGTGCCCCATCTATGTGTCTTTTAAATACCTGCAGGGATGGTGACTCCACCAYTCYACCCAGGACAGCCATGCGAAGTGATGAGGTCCTCTGTGAGCCTCCTTTTCTCCAGGCTAAACACCTCCATCTCCCTCAGTTGCTCCTCATAAGACATGCTTTCTAGACCCTTCAYCAGCTCCATTGCCTTTCTGGGAGGAGAGCAGCAGCCCTCACAAACTCACTGTRGGAATGAATCTGCAACCTCTTTTAATATCAGATTGTGAGTAGTTTTCTAAGGCCATTTTTCTTCATTTCCCCAGGATTTTCTGTAACTCAGGAATTGCTCATTAGCAAGCATTAGGACTCTAAATCATCTGACATCTTGGTGGTACTCCTCTGGTTGGCTGTCCATCTGAACTGAACCATCTTGTTGGTTGGCAGGGTGCAATTCTTGAAGAAAAATGTTGGGTTTAAATGATAGCAACACCTTATTTGGATCTTGTTGTGTGTCCATATAATTTTTGAATTTGGAATTATTTCCAATGTTTATGCAGTTTCTTGTGGGATAATACACAGGATACTAGAGGGCTCAAAGAGAGCAGCAGCCAGAGGCACTTGTCAGGTGAGTACCCACCGATCCTAAAATGTCCCTGGGCCTCCCAACATTCAGAGCTGTGCTGAGCAGGGTGCAGAGCAGCACAGAGACCCATCTGAGGATCACCCCAAACAGAACACAGTACTCACAGCTGGAGTCCATTCCCCATTGGACTGAGCAGCCTGGAGAGGAGTCACTGCAGCCTCAGAAAGGGCTGCAGGTCTCATCTCAAAACCTGTCCACCACAGGACACAGGGCAGTGACACACAGAGGGAAACCTGCTGCTCTCGGGGTTACCAGGTGAAAACCGTGTTAAAAATGAAAGCAGGCTTAGGTGCCATAAACTCTCTTGCCACACGTGAGCCCTGAGGGCTGTAAATCTTGGAGGAGGCCTCAAGTAGRTACTCGTTCTGTTGCCACCTATTCCTGGGCGGAGTGGTGTCGTCACCTGCGCCACCGCCCTCCGGAGAGGCACAGCAGGAGCCACAGCCCCATCCCTGCGTCCGGCCGCGCTTCCCTCGGCARTGCTGGCACAGGGCAGGGTTTGCTGGGAAAGCCAGGACATTACTCAGGTGTCTCCTGAGAGGAGTGCCCAGCTTCAAGCAGGTGAAGCTGGCAGCGATGGTGGTGGCAGAGTTTTCCATTATATGTTCCTGGTTGAATTRCTTCTAGTTTAAATGGTTCGGGTTCTTTAGTTTCCGAGTTTGTTATTTTCCTTGGGCTGACSTTTTTATTATTTTMTTTTTAAGCTGGTGGAATMGTTCGCCTAATTTTGAAGGGCCTTSGWGGGCGTGGTTATTGTTAAGTAACATTTTAATCTCTGTAACATTTTCTTTTCTTTGCATCAATGTATCCAGTTTCGAGGCATTCCAGTTTGGGACAACTTGTAAAAGGTTTGGTTTCTGGGCGGTTTGGGTTTGTTTTGTTTCGTTTTGGTTTTTAAATCCCTGTGAGAATCTGTTGGACTTAATGCAAAGATAAGCTTTGAGAAACTGCAGCTTTGCAATTTTTCTGTTTGTATCCCCCCGCTAAGTTTTGTCGCTTAAATCTTTTAGTATCTTTTTCCTGGTGTGGCCTTGATTTCAGCTCTATTCAGTTCTTATCTCACCACAACACTGAGTGTGCTTATGGAGTCTCCTGTAAGGGGAGGCAGAGTGAAAGCWACCGATAAGGCACAGTGACAACTACATCAAATTCTCCCAATATTTTTTGACTGGAAAATTCTCTGGGCAGGAGCTAGGAGGGTGCAGGTGGGGAGGAACATCCCAAGAGGAATATTCACTCCTTTGTGCTACATGCCATATTTATGAGCAATGCTTTCAATTACCTCCCTCAGGAAGCAGATTAGCATCAATCCCTAAATCCCCTCCATTTTGTGRTGGGGTACGCGGAGAGGCTCTGCAAGTTCATATCTTGCACAGAACAGTGAGCGAAGGGTGGGCGCCGGTGTCCAGCGAGTGGGACGGCACCCGACCAGAGACTCAGCCGACGGCAGCAAGTTCATTGTGCCGCTCTCCGCGCTGCTCGGGACCGCTGCCGGCACGGGATGGGGGCACTGGGGTGGCAGGGGGCTTGTCCCGTTGCCCTGCTCAGAGGGAAGCGTGGGGTCCMTGTGCTGGGAGGCGGCTGCGCTCGCTTCCAGCGGCCACTCCGAGCGGCCACCGCCGCCGCCGTCCTCCCTCCGTCCCCGCGCACCCAGCACTGGGCACCTCCAGCCGCGCTGGCGGATGCGCGCAAGGCCTGGGGCGAGCTGATGTCGCGGGAGAGGTCCCTGTCCGGCATTTCCTTAGTTGTTTTGGGGTAAAAACCACGGAAAAAAAAATTTAAAAAAAAAAGGAAAAATCTTCCAACATCAAAAATCAKAACTTTTCTCACCCCGCTGCCCATGCCCGCGCCCGCAGTACCGGTGAGGCCGTCAGCGAGTGCCAGCGGGGCGGGCGCAGACCCCGCGGGCGCGCAGACCCCGCGGGAGCGCAGCCTAGCGGAGCCACCTCTCCGCGCTGTCCCCCGGCCCCGCACTTCCTGCCCGCGGCGGCGGCCCTGGCGGGGCCGGGCAGGGCGATACCAAGTGTCCGGCGCGGCGGGAGCGGCGGCGGCGGGCGGCCCCTGCGCGGGGCTCGSCGCTGCGCACGCCGCGGGGCGGCCGCGGAGCGGCGGTACGGAGCGCTCCGCCCCCCGGCGCGCCCGCTGCCCCGCCGGGGAAGTTGCGCTCTGTCCCTCGCTCTCCCTGGTCCCTCGGCGACGGCTCCTTCCTCCCCCTCCCTCCCTCCAATGCGCCTCCCGCTCATTTCCTCTTTTCCTCCCCGCTCGCCGCCGCTCCGCAGGCGCGCGGCTCGCCCGGGCGCCGCCGCGGAGTTGTAGCTCCCAGGAAGCCGCCGCGCCCCCGCGCAGCCGCCGCTGCCGCCGCTTCCAGGCCGCCCCGGGACCCCGCTCCGCCAGCCGGGTAAGGAGCCGGGGCTGCTCCGCCGCCGCCCGCGGAGCGCCGCGGAAACTTCGGTGGGGCTGCGGGAGGTCCGCGAGCTGTCTCCTGCCGCGGGGACCGTCGGAGAGCGAGGTTGGAGAGAGGGGGGAGATTTCTGGCTTTTGGCGGGGTATTTTTGGGGAGCGAGGGTTCAAAATATCCCGTCTGGATTGCGGGCGCGGGGCGCTCCGCGCATCTCTTCCATCCCCGCGGGGCGCGGAGCGGAGCGGCTGCTCCTTTCGCCGCCAGGGGATGCGGAGCGGATCCGGGTGCCCTCTTCGCGTCCGGGGGATGCGAGCGGATCCCCYCTTTAGCGCCGCGGGCTGCGCCTCGCCCCGAGCAGAAGGAATTGCCAGCGTTTCCCCTGCCCTTAAAAAACCCAACCCGCGTGTATCCGTGTCTTTGTGTGTCTGTACGCGTGTGGATGTCTGCACATCGGCGTGTGCATGTCCCCGAGCAGCCCGCGTGTGTGCTCGGCTGCGGGAGAGCCTCTCCGATGGTGAGGGGCGTTTCGCAGCTCTGCTTTATGGTGGTTAATGGTTTACCCGGACAAGTTCCCGCCGCATGAATGTTGCAGGGCGCTTTGAGTCAACTCCCTACACCCGGACTTCCTATTGCCAACCTTCCCAAACGGCCTCTAAAAATGTTGGCGTTTGCCTCTGGTGAGTTGGCTTTTTCGGCTGTCTCCTCTTCTGGGTGATGTCTGGGGCTACGCCGGAGGCCGGATGGCTGTGGCCAAGGTCCCCCCAGTTCCCTCAAAGCCGTGCAAGGGGGGACACCCTACTCCTGTGAGGTTGTGGCAGCAAAGGCATCTGCCAGCCGTGGTTTSCTTCAGGCTGCTGGGGGACCTGCTGGAGCACATGGCTCCAGCACACAGTTAGTGCTCAGTATGGACAATTACAAGAAATAAGAAATAAAACAAGGCAAGTGTGTTTACTAGTAAATTTCAATGTAAATAAGTTCCTGCTCGGCTTGGGAAAAGGTCATTGGGAATTAAAGGTTTGCTGAGAAAAACGGCTGGCTGCTCAGTAGCTCTGTGTCTCCTGCTAATAGCTGCGTGATTTATGTCTATGTGACAAAATCCTGAGCTTTTCCACAGGAATACTTGTAGGCAAGCACTGGAGCTGAGCATTGTCCTGTAATCCCATTCACAAGTAAAAATCTGGTAGGAAGATMAAATTTGCTCTGTGGGAGGAAGAAAGGAGGAAACAATCACTCCCTCCCCAAAATATTTCCCGTTTTTCCTAATGGGAGCCRTTTGTCGTAGTTTCAGATTCAAAAGCTCTTCTTGCCTGAGGTGAAATTTGAGCGAATACTGGGGGACTATTTCGGCAGCCACTGATATCACTGCCATGATACGGGGTCTTGCATGGGGTCCGGCAGCACGTTTGGGTGCTTTTGGCTGGGGAGCAGAGCCAGGAGTAGCCTGTACAGGGCATATTCCATGGCCAAATATCTGCCTTGCTCCTGACCCCTCTACTCGCTTCAGGTGCTTGGATTGGGAGCCCTTTGATTCAAGCAAAAGGATTTTAGAGCTGAGTGTGTTTGATTTCATATAATGTGGTGCGGCACAGGGAAGAAGGCAGATCATCTGCTCACATTTTCCTTAGGTTAGGTGACACAGTGCCAGCCAGCAGGACATGCATCACCTTGTCCTGACACCTATTCTCTGCATTTCTTTGTTTCTTGCCTTTCTCTGTGTAGAGGTGGAAGTGTAAAAAACCAAGGGGAAAAAAGCGGGTGTCACTACAGAGCGGCGGTCGCAACACGGTCAGGAGCTCTGCTGAGGAGTCGGCTCTGCTGGCAAAAAAAGTGCTTTTGTTGGCATAGCTTAGTCCGTTCAGGGAATTGCAACGGAGCAGGGTTTGCTCTTGCAGCTGGCTGCTCACACCGGCAGGAACTTGTGTAGACAAACCCTTGGAGTTCTCAGATGCGGCTGTCACTGTCGGTGCCGGCGATGCTTTGCTCGCTGCGTGTCGCAGCTGGCACTGTGGTGCCCCCCTTCTACCACCCGAGCTCGTGGGCATGGCAGTAACATGGGCCAGTTGTTGGGAGCTGGGGATAGGGATTTATTTGGATTATGACTCCACAAAAAAAAAAAAAAAAAAAAAAAAAAAAAAAAGGAAAAAAGAAAGCATGTGATCTGGGTTTAGAAATGTTGCAATTAAAAAAACACATGCAACGTACTTTTCTTTTTATAAGCAAGGCAACATTCTTTCGAGTGTTGATTACTTTTACATGGGTGAGACAAGAATGCTGGCAGACCAAGGGAGCAGTATGAATTAAAATTCTGTATCATTTGGGTTTTTTACTTGTTTTTAGTGATGTGAAACTGTAAGCAATGATGTTGCACTGTGTGTGTGTGCAAGATGCACTGATACTCGTGGGAAGAGGATCTCACACTTTCCCAAAGAACTGCTGGAATTTCCTTCAAGCACGACTTTTAGGTCAGATTCAAGAAAAAATGCAATGTGTTTTCTAGTTAATGGAAGAAATACAGACTTTTTTTTTCTTAAATGTGTTTTCCCTTATGCTCCTAGGATGCTTTCCATAATGTCTATATGTGGGATCGTTTCTTTTTTCATTGTCTGTATTAGAAAATTATTTATGTCCAACATTTGCGTCTTCATTGAGCTTAACTCRGACAGAAGTTAAATTTCTTTTGGTGAGAGTTTTATCTTATTTTGTGTTAACTGTGTTATTGTATTGCGTGGGATTCTATCCATGGATAGTGAAAGGATTTSCTCTTGCAAAATTATTAAGTTTAGCTTTAATGAACAGAAATTGTTTTGAATCWGTGCCTGAAATGTCCATTGTTCCAAAAATCCTCTACCAGCCTGAGAGTATAACAAATGCAGTTACCTTCACTTCATCAGTCTTTTGCTATATAAAGGCTTCCACRAGTCGGTTTTGTTTTGCTAACCTGCTAATTGACCCATTGATTTCTGCATTTCTTGACTTCCCCAGATAAATATCCTCTGCCTGTTGTCATGCTCTGATAGCAAAGTAATTGTGAATCCTTGAACAGTGGGGGCAAATAATCCATGAGGAGCTCCTTTACCTGTCAGAGTCTTTAGAGTGGATAGTAGAGAATCTTCAGCTGGGTCTCCTGGAAATGTGACCTTTCTGGAAGTTTGGTGTTATATTGCTTAAAGATTGGGAGATCCACAGGGTCGACTGCAGGATGAATTAGACATTCTCCCACTCTGATTGTGCTGGAATTAGAAGCCAGAAGCTGGGGGGGGGCAGGGCATACCAGCCTTATAATCTAAATTCTTCTGGATTGCACTGCATAAAAGATGCCTTTATTATTATTAAGAAATACTGCTTATCATTTGCACAGTAGGCTTGTAGATAGACGCCTGCGAGTAACCAGTGTGAAAGAAATGCCAATGGTTCTYGGGCTGTTTCAGTGTTTCTTGTCCTGTAGGTGTATATATTTTTAAAATTGAAGAAAGCACCAAGTAGTTTGAGGGATTCTCCCTGATGATCCATGTGAGTTGCGATACTTAGAAACCCATGCCAAGCAGCACTCCATTCAAAAGATGCCAGCTACAACCTGGCCAGCCTTTTTCTTTCCTTGTGTGCAACACATTTCCCAGTGATTGAGCTGCTTCTCTCAAGTGGCACAATCTACTTGAAGAAGCCAGCAAGAAAACTTAGGCATAGCTGTAGTTACGTACAGTTCAGGCATCAGCCTTTGAGACCTTCTGCCAGGTTTTTTTTTTTTTTTTTTTTTTTTTTTTTTTTTTTTTTTTTTTTTTTTTTTTTTTTTTTTTTTTTTTGATTCCTTCAAATAAGTTTTAACCCTATTTTCTTGTTCTGCCCTCTGTTTTTAAAGGAAATCAGGCTGCCTTATGGGGAAGAGTGCAGCTGGATAATTGCACATTTAACAATTGAGGGGGAGGGGGAAAGGGTGCATGCTAATATTTCAATTGCTGTAATCTTAATGTATTCAAAGAGGTGTTTGAGCTGATGGTATCTCTTTAAATATCCACTTGAGYTGGATTGGGTGACAGGGACACTCCAAGAGTGGAAGGCATGGCTCGCACCTACAGAGACACTTGCTGGAAAACAGGCGTACTGAGATCCTGATGTGTCTGCCAAGAGCAACAGCTAAACTTGGGAAGCTGGTTTAGCAATTAAATAATGTTTTTGTTTTGGACAATGGGTTTATCGTAATGAATTAACCGGTGGACTAGTCAGAGTGGCAAAGGGATTTGTTTTTGACTCCCCAACCATGCAGCATACCAGCATCGGGAGCKTACTTCCCAGCAATGGAAGTGCAAGAAACATTTCACACGGATTGTCTGGGGTGGGAGCACGWACACTTGTGTGTCCCTTGTGTGCAAACCCAGATTCCTGTAATGTCTTGGAAATACAAACGTGATGGATGGTATAGCTTGGGCATGGAATARGGAAATGCACGGTGCTGGTGCTTGGAAGTTGGCGTGTGGCTCATGCAAAGTCATTTTAGAATAGTCGGGGGCGGCGGTGGGAGGAGGGAGRAAAAGAAATGCCTTCAGGGGGCTGGGAGCCAGCGTGTGGGCGTGCTGCAAGCCGGCCTGCCGCGCTTCTCSTTCACCTCTGCTCCGCACAGCCTGTCCTGTCTGTGCAGAAGGGAGCTTTGCCTCGCTCGGAGGTAGCAGGAATTTTTTTCASGTTTCTTTTTTTCTTTCAAAAGGGCATTGTGAGCAGGATGCTCTGTTCTTGGCAGCTCGCCCACTGTGTGAGGGGAGAAAGCTCGCTGGTTTGGTCACAATGCAGATAGCCACCGTCAAAGCCAGCCAGCATTTGCAGGGCATCTTTCCTTTTTCTCTTTAATGAAGCTTTTTTTTTCTAGCAGGTAAATTTTGTTTCTTCAAACTCAGTCGCTTTCTCTGTCTTCAAACTTATCTGGGGAGAAGCAGACTTTTCTTTGTAGAGCAGTTTRGGGCTGCTGGATGAAAGCTGCTTTTGTGTGAGAGGAGAGTGGGAGTTAC